TTGATCTCAGACTTTCAGTCTTCAAATTAAGGAGGGGAAAAAATCTCTGTTGTCAAAACCACCCAAACTCTGAGAGTTTGTAAGGATAGCTCTAGCTGACTGACAGACTCAATTTCAACAGAAGATTGTACAACAGTTCTTTCATGATATCCTATCTTTTTAAAAAATACTGAATTTTGGGAATTGCTGTGGTAAAAAGTGAGATTTGTGCAAAAATCAGTGTGCCACAGAAAATGAAGGTGACAATGTCCAAACTGATTCCAAGGTTTGATTAAGTTGCATGGTGCCCACCAGTTACACATGTCCCTTTGGGAAGAAATTGTGGCTACTTAAGAATCAAATGCACATTAATTTTCTTTTGATTTATTGTATTACATTTTCAGATGACTACTGTATTACTCATAAATACTTGCAAAGTCGTGTGGTCCAAACCACTTAATAAGAGGGATGTTTCTTTTAACTTAGAGATGCTGTTAAAAAAAAATGGCTGAGAATAAAAGGATTCCACGAGCCGAGAAAGTTTGGGAATATGTGCTATAGCAAGAGGGAGGTTTCAGACAAAATAGTGACAGAGAGCTCTCCCTGAGAACCGTGAGTGCTGAGGAGGGAGAAGGCTCTGGGCATCAACAATGTCTGGTACTATCACTGCCCTCTATGCTCACAGAAATTCTAAGCACTAGACATCTACTTCACAGTGGCCACAAGCCGCAGTTGTGACACATAACACACCACCCGAAAGCAGCTGGATTCAGAGTCTTGCAGCAGCCTATGGAAGGCATGGCTGGAGCATCTGCTCAAAAGCAGTGTATGCTAGGATGTATTACAATTTGAAGCATTTGCATCAAATCAGAGTTCTCTGCATGGCGTTGTGTCTCCAACAGCACCCACACAGAGACCCTGGCATCCAGTCGTGGAAATAGATGTGGTTCCACTGTCCTTCACATCCAATGCCCCAGTAAGGGAATATGTCTTAATTTCTGCAATTTGGGGCTCTGCAGGGTTAGAGGACCAGGTTCCCAAAATGAATGCACTTTTGCTAGGGGACAAAGTCAACATTTTAATGACTATTAGCTACCGTTGACACAGGGAACTTTGGAATCTGATGTTCAGGAACTAGCAATTGCAGAAAACAGTCATCATTTTGTTAGGGACAATTGACCGTGATCAGCAATTACACAATGAGAGCAGGAAGGAATCCATGAGGAGCCCAGGCATGAGGGTGCCTCTTGCCCAAGTGACACATGCAACAACCCTGAGACAAGAAGAACTGTATATTGACCAGTGGATTTAGACTCCTTGGGAATGAAGATGGTGCTCACACCACTAGCTGAACCACCAGAGCCTGCAGAGGGAGCAGCTGAAGACGAGCACAATGCAGACTGGATAGTGAAAGGGGAAGAGGAAGAACCCCAGGTTCATCTCTAAGACCAGCAGCAGTGAAGGTGCTTGAGTTTGCTCCTTTCTTCATAGTTTTCCCTCAAGAAGGAAAGAGACACGAGGGAGGTCATGCATCCTGAAGAGGACCTTGGCAGCACAAAAGATGACCCAAAAGGATGTTGGAGGTATCCAGGTCAGGTGCCTCACTGAGAGACTGCTTCAGGAGGCATAGAGGATTGGCAGGTGCTACACACTGGGGCACACGGCATGCATCCCGCCTCCTAATGTTCTCAGTCAGTAGCGGAGCAGGTGGGGTTCCTACAGCCAGGCCGACGGGGCAGGCATTCATCCAGCAGGTAATTTAGGCTCAGAGGCTCTCCGTCAACCCAGCCAAGACTGTCTCAGAACTTTGTCTCTGTGTGTCGCTCCTCCTACCCATCCCTTCTTCCTTCTCTCCTTCAACAGACTCTTCCCACCTGCTCCCAACCCCACCTCTTGGTGCTGTGGTCCACAATAAATATCTTGCACATTGTATGAGTCCTTTCCCATTGCTGTAAAAGAACACCTGAACTTGGGTAATTTTTTTAAAAAAGAAATTTATTTAGATCATGATTTCAGAGGCCAAAAGTCCAAACAGCAGGGTGTGGGGTCTGGTGAAGGGCCCCCTGGCTGCATCACACCAAGATGAATGGCACCATGACAGCAAACTGTTCGAGAGGGTGAAATCAAATGTGAAGACAGCAAGCCAGAGAGAATGGAGAGGAGCTAGGCTTGTCCTTTTGTAACAACCTTTTCATGAGCGCCAAAACGGGTTGCACAAGAGCTACATCATTTCCTTCTGAGGGCAGCATCTCCATGATCCATCTATTCCCCACTAGGCCCCACCTCCTAAAGGTCCCCACACCTCATTACACCACTACACTGAGGACCAATCTCCCAGCACCTGAAACTTTGGGGAATATTCACACCACCTCAATTAAGATGCTCTTTTCATCCTCTTTCATTTTGTGTGTGCATGCGTGTGTGTGTGTGTGCACACACACACCTGTGTTCCAAATAGCCAAACTGTAAAATGCCATGAGACTGGGGAGTTATTATTAACCAGTTGATCTTCCAAAACACTACACTGATCTAGAAATTTTTTGTTCAATCATAAACTAACAATAGCTAAATTTTATTGAGCACTTAAAATGTGTCTGACACTGTGTTACGTTTTATGTACACTTGTCATTTTCACGTATGTACTATTAACCCCATTCTCTAATGATGAAACATTCTTTGGAAAAAGGTGGTAATTGGCCAACTTGGGATTTAAACACTGGCTTAATTAATTCTCCACACTGTCTCTTGGTTAAATTTGGAAAGAGTCTTCAATGTCTAACATCCCTAGTGATCATCTGCGACTCCTCAACCTGTAAAACGCTCATCTGCACTTGGTTGGATATCTCTGGGAGGTGGCTGCAAGCTCATTCCTGTCTAGTGTAATGTAGCCCTTGCTGGACAAAGGAAGGAAATAACATGCATCAAGCCCTTTCTGGGTACTTGGCTCTCTGTTCTTGTCACTTTAGTTAGTACTCCCAGTAACAAGTGTAAGATGTGCCTAACCATCTCATACCTGAATTTCCTATACATGATAAAATTGAGGCTCTAAGAAATGGAGTAACTTGACCCAGATCTTAGGATCAGCAAGTGGTGGGACTAGGATTCAGACACAAGCCCTTTTCATTTCAGAGCTTTTTCTACTTCCAGTGCTTACCTGGCTTCAAAAGGTGCTAAGCGAGCATGTACTAAGCGCTTCCTTTGTGCTAGACATTGTGCTTTGTATGGATTATCCTTTGTTTTATTTATAGTACTTTGAGAATTATTATCCCTGAGACTGCTCAGCGGACAGGTCAATCTAATTCCAGAGCTCACATGCTTTCAAATTATGCTCGGCTGTATACATAGTTCCTTAAATTGAGTCCAAACTTCCTCCTGTCTTCTGAGCTCATACAGAACTAGTGGAGTCATCCTTTGCCTGCAAAGCTATAAGAAAACAGCCCTTTGTCTGTTCTGTTCTGGGCAGAACATTTGCCCTTCTAACTTGTTTTCTCATCCCCCGTTCCCAGCCCCATCCTCTGAACATGATTCTGTTTTTCTACATCATTCTGAATGCACTTGCTGGTTGCTTAATATTTCCCACAAAGGAAGCAGGAGGACCAAAACTTTCTATGAAAGGGAAGGTCAGATGCCTTCTGCAAACAATGGTGAGAAAATAATTACTTCCAGCCGTCATCATCTGGAGCTGCACAGCGAGCTGTGAAAGCATTCTATGGATTGGCACCTTTCAGTGGGTGCCTTCTAAAGACGACAAGGCCATGGTGATATCATAATCCTCAGCAGCTCAAGGTTTGCAGATGAAACATGTATTAAACTGATCTGGTGTAAAGTAATGCCAAGGATAAGGCATGCAAATCAAAACGTATGCAATAAATTTGCAGCAGGCTTGGAATCTATCCTGTAGGTGTTGGTTATTGGAAGAATCAAATGAATTAATGTACGTAAAACGCTTAGCACAGAACCTGGCCCAGAGCAAGTGATCAATGGTTAGTATTATTATCTATAGGAAATGAGCCCAGTGCAATAGGGGAAGTACATCAGGGAATAATAATGGTACTCAATCAGGACTCCCCACGTCTGGCCTTTATGTGTGTGTGTGTGTGTGTGTGTGTGTGTGTGTGTGTGTGTGTGTGTGTGTACACACACACACACACACATATGTATATGTATAAAATCCACTTTAATCCTCATGAACCCGTGGTAAACTTATTATCTCCATTTCAGAGACGTGGAAGTCACCTTACCCTGGGTCCTACAGCTAAGCAGCTAAGCGCTTGGGTTTTAGAGTCAAACAGTTCTGACTTTAAATCCCAGCTCAAATACATACTATGTGACCATAAACATGTTATTTAACATGCCTCAGCCCCCAAAATAGGATAATAAAATATCCTGAAAGGGTTCTGTGAAGATTCTGTTAATATTGCAATGTAGAACACTGAGAAGAGTATTTAGTACATTTTCAGCTCGTAATAAATAGCACGCATAAATGTATGTATTCGTATTCATACATGCACACTAGTGTACCCTAAACATGTGTGCACACATAAATCTATATGTAAGCTATGAAGGATGAGTAGGAGTTGTTCAGGTGGGAATGAGGAGAAATAGGCGTTTCAAGTTAAGCGTTTTCAGGGCTGAACGCGCACACTCTGCTAGGCGACCCAGAGCAAAAGAGGAAGGGACAGGAAAGTTAGAGACACGAGAAAGCAGTTTGAAAGGAAGGAGTCTAGTGGTTAGGCAGAGAGGATCGGGCCCTCTGGACTGAGTGGAAAAACCAGAGTTTGAAGTATGTGGCTGTAATGCTAGTCACCGGCTCAGGGAATCCCAGCAGCTTGGGAGACTTTGCGACTCCGCCTTCATCAGTGCCAGCCAATGAGGAAGTCCCTCATGGCGTCCCGTTGCCAGGCAACGTAGTGGGCCGGTTCCTGCTGTTGGGGGCTCTCTTTTGCCCTCCCAGGCAGTGCTCTGCTGAGCCCTGCTATGGGGCCCCCTTAGCTCCTGGACACTGGCGGGTGGGAATTTTGTCAGTGGAGTCTTATTTTTTTAGTTCACATTTTATTTATAATAGGAGAAAAGGGAGAAAAAGATATCCTCTGTCACAGAGGGAAAAGCCTTAAAAAGTTTTTAACTTTCTTAAAAGTAGGTGATTCCAGGGTTCCTCAGTCTACCCTATCTGGACTTCCTTATCCTGTTGGTGGGACATCCAGATGACTTGCTCTCCCAGTACATACTCCTTGGAGAAATTTCTGAAACCCTTCACACCAGTGGCTGCCGAAGTAAAAGATTCAAGTAAAGTCTTTCCTTGGTTGACATCAGGTGAAGCTTGAAGGATTTCCAAGATGAACAAGGTACCAGCTACTAAAAGAACGCAGCGCTTACCCAGCCCAGATCATCCAACACAGGTAAGTCTCCCCTATCTGTGGAAAACAATTATGTTTTCAAGTTAAAGTGAAATAGGAATTAGCTTCCAGACCCATAAGGGAGAGTAGGAGAGAGAAGAATTGTGGTGTAATTAAATTGTCGAGACACATCTCTGTTCCTATCAATGATTGGTTTCTCCTAAAGAATGAAAACACGAATCACAACACTGAGCTGGGCCATCTTATTAGCCAGTAATTCCAAAATGATGGAAAAAATCACCAGTGACACTGTAGAACATGATAAAAAATTGAGATGAATTGTAGGTCTGCTACCGCAGAACTTACTTTCAGAGATCCGCTCGGCCTGGGAGAGATGCATATCCTCCCTCTTTGCGGACAGGCTGTGAGTTGTCAAACTTCTGAGTCTGAAGGCTGGACTTGCTACTCACCAGCTCTGCGACATTAAAACAAATCACTTGGTGTCCCTGAACCTTTATTTCTTCCTGTCTACAGAACAGGGCCAGAAACATCAACTAGGCACAAAGTATGTGTAGAACAAATGAAGTCAGACCTGGACCATCCAGTATGATGCTAACATTTGCTAATTTGTATGTGGGACATGAAATTGTGCTGTTGATTTGAATGATAAGGACAAACTGGTATGTGTCAAATGACTAGCATCACAGGTTTTTGTGTTTTTGTAAGTGATCATAACTGAGTAGGCCACAATGATAAGCAAGCCTTGGTTTAGAAGCCTCAATCCCAGCATTGTTAGGGATTGGCTGAGGGAGAGAGGAGCAGCGCTGGCTCACAATGGTCCACTCACAGGGGAACACCATGAATCCCACAATCACACCCAGGAAGGGTGGCCTGGGGGATTCAGTGTACACAGGGGAGCTTAAAATCTTAAAACCCACCAGCACTTTCCATGTGGTCCAAAGCACCCTCAAGCTGCTCTTCTGGAAAGGCTGACTCATCTTTCTGCAGCCCTCGTTGCACAGCCCTCTTAGTGAGCTCACGAGCTGCTAGGTGCAGCTTCCTGAAGCTCTTTTCCACTCCAAATGCTATACAGAAATGTGTTCCATCCAGAGCAGCCCACTCTGGGACTGAATCAGCAGAGCAGGAGAAAGAGAAAAGTAGGATGGATATTTCAGTAGCCAAAGTGAGTGTCGGAGCACTCTGCAGACACAAACAGCTAGGGTTTGCCCTGGTCGTGCCCCTTAGCATCCTTGTGGCCTTGAACAACTCACAGAACTTCTCTGCCTTAGTTGTCATCCTTTACCTCCTCCTGAGATGGCTGTGAGTACTGAATGACTTCAAATATATATCAAAAGCCTCTAGAACACTGATGCGTACTAAGCACTCTGTAGATTTTTGTTTTATTGTAGTTTCATCCATTTAACAAAGATTTAATGAATCCTTGTTATGTGCTACAAATTTGATTTTATAAAAAAAATGAGCCTTACTTCTAAGAATCTTAACTCTCTAATGTGTATTCTTAGAAGGAGGAGAGAAGAGACATATCATTATAATGCAAGGTGATTAATGATGTGGTAGGAAAGTATCCAAGGGTGTCATGGAGGCAAAGGAAAAGGACAGCTAGTGTGTGTGTCTGTGTGTAAAATAAAATTTGGGGGAAGAACAAAGCCATATGCCTAAGTAAATGTAGCAGTTTTCCATCAAGGGATAGAGAAATGAAGGTGGAAGGAGATGCACAGGTTGGAAAAAGTATCTCTTCTGGGAGGAGGGTCGTGGGACTTGGTGAATCAGAGATATAAAGAAGGATCCAGAGGAGTGTGGAATAAACTAAGACCCAAAGCACAAAAATTTCTTTAAAATCTGTCACCACCCTGCTTTCTAGGATGTAATGAAGACTCTGGTGTGTCCCTGGGACTCATGCAAAGATCATGCCTTCTAGGACCTCCAGTTTTGAGAACTACCAGGAAGCATTGATTAACCTAATCGAGGCTAACTAGAAATTAACAGGAGGATGTGGTTTTTCTATAAAATGGAATACTACTCAGCCATAAAGAATGAGAAATTAGTCATTCATAGGAAAATGGATAAATATTGAGAATATACTCCTAAGTGAAATAAATAAGTCACACATGTGTGAATACCGAATAGTTTCTCTATTATAGTGAAAAATAATATATATAGTGAAAAACTATTATAGTATATAAGATCCTAATGAGATAATTGACAATGTGAAATAGAAGAAAAGGGCTAAAGGTGTAGGGAAAGTGGGAAGGGTAGGAGAAAGGGAATAAGGGAAAAGAAAAAAAATATGAGAAAATGAAAAATGGAAATAAAATGTTTGTAAATGGGGAGGGGAGGAGGGGGTGAAGGGAGGGCAGGGACAAGGGGAAAAACTGAGAACCAAGACCTGTCATGTAAAGGTACAAGATCCCAATAATGAATGTAACTGTCCTGTATACCTAAAATGTACCAATAAACTCAATAAAAAAAGAAATTAACAAAGCAGAAGAAAGTATGTAGATAGCAGGATTGACTTCTGGGGCAAATAAATTCATTCGGTCCCACAATGATGATGGCTATTGTGTGCTGAATGTTCACTATGTGCCACTTTCTCAGCCAAAGTCCTGACTTTGTGATATCTCCAGAACCTTCTATAAACCCTTCAAAGTATGAACTGCTACCTCTTCGTGAGGTAGATGGCAAAGTCAAGGCTTGGAGAGGAGGGGTCGCTACCCCCGGTGACCCAGCCAGCAATGAGTAGAGCTAGGATTAAAACTCAGATCTCCTTTCTCCAGAGTTCGAAACTTCTCTCTCTCTCTCTCCTATCAGGTTAACCCATCCTCACCAAATCATTACACTGAGTTGTCCCACTTAGTGCCCAGCACCACAGGGAATCCAAACAGAAGGCACGAGGCAAATCAGATCGTCTGGAGGGGAAGGGAAGTGATGCATAAGAAGAGAATCTTAAAATGCCAGACAGACAAGTTAATGTCCACTGAGGAAGAATGACAGGAGGGATCTGACATCTCAGGGGATGAAGGTGTGGCCGCACTGGACTGTGTGGTAGCGCTGACAGCTTACTGCATGTTAGCTTTATGGATGGCCCAAAAGCATCCTGTGGCCTTCTGAAACTAGCTCTTTGTCCTTTTCACAGGGATGTAGGTCGCTATAGCACAGCTAATGTCATGCGGGTGACTGCCTTGTACCGTATCTTCCTATGGCTTTGTTTTCACCAGAAGAGATATAAATGTGCATATCCTCCGTTTGAAGGTCTTTGGTGGAAAAATGTCCCACCTCGCCCCTAGCTTGGGTTACCTGATCTGTGTAAGGCAGCCCTTGTTGCTTTGCTTCCCACGGAAGCAAGAGAAGTCTAATGGAATCAGCCATGGGTGAAGGAAAGAGCAAGCTATGTGGAGGGTCACTAGGGATGAACAATTTCTGTCTTGGAACAAAGTCTAGAAAAGAAGGACACAAGGGACACCTCGCCAACCCCCTGTTCTAAATAATAGCCATGTAGGAATAGCATTTGGCAAAAACTATTAAGGTATGGAATATTTTGAACACACCCTGTTTCTTGGTGCCTGAAAGTTTCCACTTCACTGTCATAAAAACTCAGAGAGAAAAAGCATACTTAATTTGGGTCAATCTTAAAGCTTCCAGGAAGCAGAGTTGGCTTTTATTTCTAGCAGAATGGTTAAAAGAGCAGGTTCTTCAGCAAACTACTTGAATGCAAACCAAACTCTGCTACTTCCTAGGTTAGGTAACCTCAGGCAAATCAGCTCCTCTCTGCCTCAGTTTCCTCCTCTGTGAAGGTGCACCATGTTTTAGCTGACCTACAAAGCTCCCATTTCAAAATGCATCTTAATTTTTGTGTCATTAAGAGAAAACTCTCTAGCGATTAATGGGATGAAAAGATGTGTCCCAGTTTTAGAGATGATAAAATGAGGAAAGAAACTGTGCACCTTAGAATAGATGAGTTATAACTAAAAATGTTCTATCCTCCTAAAACTGTTGTGAGACAAATATGAGACAGATGGGTAAAGCTTTTAGAATAGAGCCTGGTACAGAATCAACACCACTGAATATTAGCCACTTATTAACTATGTAGAGGTATGTTGTTAACTTCCTCTTGTACCTGGGTAGACTGAGGCTTGAAGAGCCCCCAGAGTCTAGCAGGCTGTGGAGTAGTAAATTGGCAGATGCAGGGAAAGGATGACAAACCGGGCAGAATCCTGGGTATGGGAAGAGGTGGACTGAGCATCTCCCTCCCTTCCCCCCAAATGAGGAGGATGTGTCTGCTCTGAGAGAGCTTTGGCCAGCCCACTCCAAGCCCAGCTGGGCTGCCTGAAATGTGAGCAGGAGAATCAGCCCATCTTTTTAGAACAATTTTCCCCAGCAAGAGAAATCTTGAATGGCAGCACAATATATATCGACTAAAATGTGAAATGCTCTTCCTCTCCATCCAGAAAGGAGAAAGTGGGGCTTGCAGAGGTAAAAGCTGCTCTCTGGTGAGCCATGGGTCTTTGTTAAAAGTGAACTCAGAGTTGAGTGATTTCTCTGGCCTCTAATCACAGAGAGCATGCCGCCTGCACAGAATAACTGATTACCTTTGAAAAACATAAAGTAAAACATCGGATGAACACTTGAGATTTTATTCTGAAGACTCTCAGTCAGCTGTACCTGTTTTTATGTCATTCGTGACTTAGGCCAGGAAAATAATAGAGTCCTTTTCTCTCCCCCAGGCATCCTCCTGACTCCATTGCCACTACAGATGACAATTTACAGAATTTAAGGTTTTTTAATTTAGTTTAATTTTTTTTCTATGTGGCCTAATGCTTTGGGTTGGTAATGCTTGCCTTAGCAAATCTTACTGTGTCTAATTGCAGGCCCATGTGACAGGCAGCTCCCCTCCATGATAAATCAGGATTCAGGGAAGGAGCATGTTCATTACCTCCTGACAGCAGAAGAGTGATAGGCTCTCTCTCTTTATGCTGGACAAAATGAAGCGAGTGCTTCGTTCCGTCTGCAGAGAGGCAGCTGCTCTGCACAGGGCGGAGGTGCAG